TCCGGTCGCGGCCGCGTCCCGCGCCGCCGCGCTCACTTACTCGATGAGCGATCTGCTTGGCGTGCAGGGCCTCGACATGGGCGCCGTGTATCATCCGATCCCGACGATCGGCCTATGACCAACGATACTCACACCCCTTTCGCGGCCGCAGTGAACGTCGCCGGCCGTCCCGACGGGGTGTACCGATCGCGACTGTCGTTTCATTTCGTTTCAATCGTTCGATTGCCGTTACGTTCTTTCCCAACGTCGCTGGTCGCTTTACCGGTCTCGTTGTAGTACGTCAGGATGACGACGATGATGATCCCGGGTAGAAATTAATCGGAGGGGTGCCCCGAATCTTCGGTGGCTCTGGGCAGGCCGTCCCGAAATAATGCAAATTTGCGATGTAGTTGAAAATAGCTAGGTGAAATCAGGACTTGCGGAAAGTGTGCTGTTCCACGGTTGAGTGAAGCTTACCATATTTAGATCGAAACCAAATTAACTGTTACTTTGATTTTGGTTCGCAGAAATAATGTTTAAGTAGAATATTTAATACAGATTGTAAGTTCGCGATTGAACTTTCTTATAAATTGGTAGCATAATAAGATATGATCTAGTCGGGCATATCAAGATAGACCTGGTTAGATTTACAAATCCGGCCTAATCGTGTACGAGCGTTACTTTTATGTGTAAGGTCTAGGTGGGTTTGCCTTTATAGGGCCTAGATACAAATGGGGAAAAATTGGGCAGGGCCTTCCCAGTCCTCGCTTGAAATTTCTACCTGGGATGATGATGAAGAGTTTACGATTCGCGCGTGCCAAAGGACGACGCGGTGACGCGATTTCAATGCGCGCGAACGCGCGATATTCTTTTCCTCAATTTTACACGGAACGTTCCGATAGATGTGCCAAAGTTAGGTTCGAATCGATCGATTCACGTCGCATGAATTACGAGGTTGAAAGCTCAATCGGCCGGATACGTTTATACAAAGAGAGGTTCCGCGTTTTATCGAGTCAAGACTCAATTGGCCGGAACGGCCAGCGCGTTATTTAAAACGATGAGTTTCGCACTGTCGGCTGTAGATTCCGGTGAGGAACCAGTCTCTTCTTCACTCTCATAGCGTTTATTTTTCTTTTCCTCTCAAGGAAACGTCGCGTTTAGGTTGAACGACACCTTGCACATTCCTCGATCGAGACTGTTCTAGCCTTCGTTCCGAAGTAATTAGTCAACGAAAGAAATCGAAAGTATTAATTAATATGCATCGATTAATGACCGAACGACGCGCGAGCGCGTGATAGATGTCGGCGTCGCGTCGAAAAGTGCAATACCGTAGATTAGAGGAAAGACCGTTCGTTCTTAATCGCCGGTTCGAGATACATATCGGAAACGCGATATTTCCGCGGAGCTGTTCGCGGTTGGCAATGTTCGGCAAAACTGTGATCGTAGTTGCAGAGTATGGATAAACGCGTAGCGAATTGCAGTTTTACTCGACGTAGTAGTTTACCGTTGGGGCCTCATTTTCACGTAGCGACGAGAAACTAGACGTGTAGCAACGAGACAAACGTATCACAAAAAGACTGGTAGTTATTTCGTAGGTAATTAGTAACGCAGTTAGTAGGACAATAAAACGAAGTGTTCAAACGTAGAGGAAAAACGGACCGAAATGTTCCAATGTTGCTCAATAGTAAGCCGCCGTCGCGTCGAACGTATCTCCTCGGGGGGTGGGGGGGGAATTTGTCTTTCGACTTTTGTGACAATTGTTTATTTTCACTGAAATACGGCGTGTAAATTCAGAATCGTCCATATATAGAAACGTTAAAAAGTTAGCACCGCGCTCGCCTCTTGATAAAACATTGCCAAATTTAAAAATAAAATTTACCGAATTTTTGATCGTATAAAGCTCCGGTAGACAGCTTTATTTTTTAAAGTTCCCGGCCAAAAAATACATTCCCATACGATGGCTCGTAACCGTGATATTTTTTAATCGAAACTGGCGTGAAAATATATTAGAAATTTATGGAAAATTGACAAGAACGAGACCGGGAACTGTCATGTTTTGTACTGTTGGTTCAGCCGAGTTAATCGTTAAAGCATACCGCGTGAGAGAGTAAATACAATTATAGAAACATATTTATTCATGAAGGCAGGCGCTGTTATAAATGGACGCGCGGCACGGTGACTTTGCAAGTCGCGTCTAATGAAATTTCGATCATCTACCGACGTCGAATAATTAAGTTCTCGGCGTCCGTCACACTTGCCGCGTTAAAAGCACTTCGATTAAAACGCCGTAGAACTTAACGCCAACATCGAGCGTTTAACGTGGCGGTAATGAGAGAACAGGAAATCGGAGGATAGGTGAGGCTCTGCCGTCGCGACGGCGATTTTCAGGTCACCCCACCGACGCTGAGGATGGCGTGGGGTGGGGTGGGGAACGAAACGACAAGTCTCCCCGACGGAGATCGCACGTTCGCTCCGGCGGCTGTCAATTCGCGGTAGAACCTAGTTGAAATTTTAGCGACGCGAACAAAGCTCTAACGTAGAAATGGCCGTCTGCGAAGTTACGCGACGAGACCGGGTGATAATTAGGAGCCGCGACGACAGGTGTGGAAAAAAAGCAGTCGCGTATTTCGTGGCGTATTTTCGAACGTCGTCGAAACGACGGGGTGTTTTTCGGGGAGGGGGCGAAAACAATCGCCCGGCCGCTCTCTAACTCGTTCGCTCGCCAGGCAGCGAGCGCGCGCTCTTCGTCGAGGCCGTTGATTACGAATATTTTATCAGAAAACAGAAATAAAATGAAAAGGAAAACATTCGCAGGTAGCGGCGCGCCATGTGTGCCGTTCGCGAACGCGATAATTGAAGGAAATCAATTAACGGCGATGCGGACAAATTGTCGCCGGATATGGCGAGAGGGCGGTTAGCGCGACGGGAGCTCGCAGCAAATGGTCGGCGACTTGTGCACTTCTCATTTGTCGCGCCTTCCGGAATATTTTTCGCAAGTGACTTCATGAAATTTCATAATGTCGAAGCAAGAAAGAAATGAAAGAACTCACGAGGTTCTAGAAGATATTTAAGATACTCTCAGAAGGAAAGACACGAGAGCTCGGCACTATCTATATGTATATACGTACATACATACGTGAATCTATATACATATATACGTGTGTATACGTATAATATATTTATATTCTATATTTGTATACGAGATGTCTCGAAACCAGCGGTGTACACGGTATTCTGACGAGATGTTAAACCGATAAATAGATTAAGTGGTTTATCGATAATAACGAGAGACTCGAGTCTCGCATGGACGTTAACGAATGATTTCGCGGCTTAATCATGCCTCTATTAAACGTGATAATTGAGAATATTACAGTAGACGAAGCCAAAAAAGAGGAAGAAGCGAGTGATACGTGCCAGTGGTTTTCGGACATCCCGTATAGATATGTACCTAACGACCCATTATAGATTACGCCAGACGATACATACGTTATATTGTTTTGTATCTTACCTATTTGGTAACGCCATAGCATTTGATATTGATATCAATATATTTTGTGAGAGCCGCATTATACCTTATAGTTTTTGTAATAGACCAAACAGATATACATATCGGAGCCTATATATATATACATATATCTATCTATTCTATACATATCTAGGTAATTAGGTAAATTTGTGTTGTTACCAGACCTTAGATATTACTGAGACTCTAGGCGTTCTAGGTTCGATTAGTTAGAGACAATCTCTCAGTTTTGGGCGAATAATATTACCATGTACACGTTCCTACCGTTGAGATTACTAGTGAACTATAGCTTTTGGGAAGTCACACTATGATATCGTTAGTTTAGATTGTACTTTAGGCACTTCTTCGCGGAAGACGGCGTCGTCCTCGCTCTCGGTCGTCGCGATTGAGGAAAGATCGCACTTACTATCGCGGCGAAAGAGCACGTCGCGTAACATTCCCCGTACAATTCTCTCGTTTGCTTCCGCGCACGGGTTATTCGCACGAACGATTTTCCGACCACGGCGGAAAGAGGAGCGAAACGAAGCGAGAACCAGAGTCATCCGCGAAGAATGCGCATTAACAGCGGCTTCAAAGAGACCTATTACATTGTACCTATTACTTAAACGAGCTACGTTACATAGTACATTTATTATTACGTTACACGTAATATTATACCTCTCTATAGGATACATACTAAATATATATCGTGCGTATACCTGTCTATACCTAATTCCTCACAGCCCCCGTATATATCCTACTCATATACTACTCGTTACATAGTAACTTAACTCTTCTCTTAAGCCACATAGCACCGTTTACCTTGAATAATAATGCGTGAGACGTGTGCCCTAGAAAGTACGTACTTAGCTGCGCGCGTGCGCGAGAGAGAGAGAGAGAGAGACGCAACACTGTCAGTTTCGTAAGTAGACCAGACCTTGAAGGTGCGGTTTCGTTCGGTTCGGCCTTTGTGACGCTTGGCTGCAGGGCCGAATTTTGCTTCCACCCGGGGAATGTAGAATATCCGACGAGAGATGCCACGCTACAATCTGTAACGGGGGCGCGGGACGACACGACGGAATGCACCCCCGATACACCACGGCCTCGCGAACAACGTTCCCCTTCCCCTCGAGACGGAACACGCAACGAAGGAGAGAGACGTAGAATTTTAGCGAGGGTAGCCGGATGAATTCCACGATTGCCGGTTGCCATCGATGTGACGCAAAACATTAATCGACCGGCAACTCGATCGTAAACTCTCGCAGCTGAGACAGGCTTTAAGCGCTCCGCGCGCGCGAGAGACTGTTGATGTTAATGTCGTACGTAAACGTCTGCTCTACGTGAGTTCGATATGTTGCACATTCGAGGAGGGTGTATTATCGTGTTAGACGTTACGTAGAAATCACGCGCGCGCCTAATTCGCGTGGGAGAGTATTTACCGTCGAGATCTATTCACACGTGTTTCGATGAAAAGCGATGAAGTTATACGCAAGGTTATACACATATATATATATATATATATATATATATATATATATATACGACACTGCAGACGATTCTATTGAAATAAATGCGAGATAGTCCTCGACGTATATGCAAATCTCATTGTAGCTCGGAAGAGTTTAGTGAAAGCCATTAAGACTGAGCAAAAGCAAACGAAAACTGATAGTAAAGTACGGTTGAGCGCTTGACGTAATCAAAAGCAGCCCGGTAGAGAGACTTTAGGTACGGAATTACTAATACTATTAATATATATCAGTGTATTTTTAATGGCTAGAATAAACGCTCTTATATACTTTTTCCATCTGCGTATATTGTGAGAGCAACGTCGATATGGAGACTAGCATAGTGAGTCAGTAGTGTAGTATTGTGGTCGGTGTTTTTTTTCAATATTGTATCGTCAATATAAGTGTCGTAGTGGCGTCGATACTATGCCACCCACGCGCGGCACACAAATGGAGATGGAAGAGCACGTGCAATCTGTCTCTCCGCTGTGCGATAATTCCGCAAATGGTTCTTCGAATTTTGCACGGAGGCGCGATTAACCCTTCGAGTCGCAGACTTTTGAAAATTCGCTCGCATCGCAAACAGGGTCATATTGACTCTCTGCGATTTTCTAAATTCCATATCTGAAAAATTGTGAAAAGAAAGAGATTGACAAAATTCTAGAATAAAATGTAACTCTCCTACTTTAATGTTTGATCATGCAATCATAGAAAATCAAGTTTTAAATTACTGAAATAAATTCAAATTTAAACAATGGTCCTGCGAATAGTATTATTTTACTTAAAATATCGTAATTTCTTTACTTTTTATTATTTTGATTTGTAAACTGTGGGACGATGAAGTTGAAAGGTAGTTCTAACAGAAAAAAATATGATTCTCGTGTTCGTAAAACAGTTTTTTTGGATTACTGAAGAGAGGATATTTTGAAATATTGAAAATAAATGTTTTTATGAGAAAAAATATTTTTATTATAAAAGTATCGAAAATAGTTTATTTTTTACTTGTAAAAACACGCATTGTTTAAAAAGTAATAAATTATTTAGGTCATGCTTTGCAGGACACGCCATCTGACTCTAATGCACTGTGCATAACACTATCGTTTATTATTAAAAAAAAACACGCGTAATTACAATGCTTACTTATGTTTATATACAAATTTTCAGCAAAAATAAATCGTTTCACTTGTGGCGTCAAATTATACACAGATCGCATACTATGGGTCTAATTGACCCTGCCTGTCAAATTCGGGGTCCCCAAACACGCACTAATCGGATTATCAGAATCGCACCACGTCTAACGGACAGAGCGACTTTTTAACGATTTTCCGGGAGTAGAGAGAATTCATAGATCACATACTTCTACTCGCTATAGCTTGTCAAACGTAATTCACCGGGTCTATCTAACTCATAATTTGGTCGAAGGGTTAAACGCGTTCACGCGTGTTCTTCTCCTCCGCTCACGCGCTCACGATGGCATATTACCGACCCTTATAGTCGATATCTAATAAGCTATATAGAGAGCCTAGCAGATATTACTTAACGGTAAATAATTAACCAATACCTTTGGAGGCTACAATAACCATAGTTCATAGGAGGGTTTATTTTGTCGTAGATTGGAAACACCTCGGCCGCGCGTAGTTATTAGTACCTTGTCACACAGTTTAGTCAATGCGCTATATAGTCGATGCGATATATACATATATATATATATACATAGTGAGAATCTTAGTTGTGTGGTCTTTTGGATTAGTATCGAATTATGAAATTTCATGAATGCCTTGATCTCTCTATCATTCTCAATTTCTTTCTTCCTCTAGATCTATTTTTTTCTCTCTTTCTCTCTATCTACATTTTTCTCTTTTTTCTTCCTTTTTTCTTTGTTTTCTTTATCTCACTCTTTCTCTCTCTCTCTCTCTCTCTCTCTCTCTTTCTCTCTTTCTCTCTCAGACACACACACATTTTCTCTGATTAACCTAGAAAGCTTCTAATCCTGTTTCTCATCTACTTTTCTTTTTACGTTCTCTTTATCGTTTGGACCTAGTCATCCGTTACACTTAAGCCGTTGATCCCGACGAATTTCTGCAACGCTTCGCTTCATATACTTAACTTATCTCCATGTACATATTCTTAAATGTCTACGCCTACCTTCGCCTGCTCGAGGAAAAATATTGGTCCCGCGTGTACGCAACTACGCGGAAATAATGGGCGCGCGGAAACTTCATTTCCGACATGAAGTTCACATTCTCCCTGGAGTTTCTCGAGCGATCAATATCTTTCTTCGTACGTAGTTGCAGAAATTTTGATGGAGACTTGAAACCGTTGCACTAACGAACATATGCAATACCATGCGAATAAGAGGGGCACGAATTTAAGAAAAGAGAAAAGAAACGAAAAGAATAGAAAAAGAAAGAGAAAGAAAAAAAGAGGAGAGAAAAGTATTCACACGACACACGTCGATCTATGCCGTACTTACATTAATCAAATTTATTTTTCCTTATAGATTTTATGTGGTCTCTGGGAGCATTACCTGATGGTGAGTATGAAATATGTACGGACTTATATCTGGTAGACTCGATACCTACTGACGGCCGCTATTATGGCCGACAGACATAGCTAAAGTAATAGTGATACCAGATGGCTCGATAGCCTTGATATATAATCATCTATTTCGTTGCTTTATCTATGTCTCGGTTGACCGAACATGAGGCTCGCATAAATGTTAGTTAGATTAGTTGCTAACCTCATTAGTTTTTCCGTTAATAGATATTTAATCTAATCAGCGGAATAGGTACACGTGACGGATATACCTTAATAGAACTTAATAGATTCAACCTAGTGATCAGCGGACGGATTAATTTCACCGCTTCATGTAACCTCGACATAACGCTGCCGCAGCTTTAAACTGCGTTTAAGCCTCTGTAATTTTCTTTTCTATCCAGTAAATATTCCAATGAAATAATAATAATTATGATACACAAAGAATGATGCTCTAAAGTTATACACTGAGAAACTCATTTAGTCCAGTCAAATCCTTACGCAGATATAGGCAAACAAATGTTTTTGTTATAAGAATAAGGTTTGGTTCAGCTAAATGAAAAAGGTTTGTTTTTGCGAACCTTTTCGTTTCAGAGAATCGAAACATGCGTTTGTCCGCATCCAAACAAGAGTTAGTTTCAATGAAACTAACTAACAAGAAGTTTGATTCAACTAAACAGGTTTCTCCGTGCATGCTCGCGAGACACAAAAGCGAGATGAAGCATCAGAAGTAGAAAACGCGAGAGGTTCGGGCGAACCCGATCGCATCTCACAGCCTTTCGCTGAACAGCTTCCGCGTATCCCGCGGTTTCGAAGGGAACAAGCGGGTCCCAGCAGCTACTGACGAAGAGTTTAACGAGGATCTTCGTTGTGTTCGCAGGTTTCCCAGCGGCGTACGCGGCATACGCGGCGGGCCGCGGCTATTCTGGGTACCCTAGTTTCGGATTACCCTACCCGACAGGTAACCACCTTAGCCTTAACCACCTTAACCACCACAATGCGGCCCACATCGCGCCCCTGAACCTGAACTTGAACCTCATACAGGCGCAGCCTGCGCCCCACCATAACCCGCCCACTCCGACACCGCTCTTTTACCATCCCAATCTGGACCTCTACAACGCCATGCCTCTGTGAACTAACTCGCCGACTAACGGTACCGATCCAAGCTGTGCGCGCATTCTAACCCATCGCTACACGCTAACTGATTGTGCTGTCGCTTCGTCCACCCGGTCCCAACGCGACGCGATCGCTACGCCGAGCGAAAGGTAGCCCCGCGATCCCGAGGAGAACGCGAAGAGGTTCGGGCGGTTCGAGAGCGTGGCAGGACCACGCGATGATGATCCTCGAGGATCGCGCGCACCTCGTCGCGAAAAATGCGAAGGTTCAGTTCGACGATACACGAGCGGCTTCGCTGAGGATCTCGCGCGAAGCCGCGAGAGCACTCGAGCGAACGGACAGGACGACGGAGCGCACGTGTGTTGTTGTTCCTCTCTTTGCACGGAGGAGGGAGCGAGAAAAAGGACGACGAGATTCCTGCTTAAAACGCGGACGATCCCTCTTTAAAGCACGGCGAGCCCCGATTTCGCAAAGTTCCGCGTCTCTCACGAGGACGCGGCGACGGCGGCGGCCGTAAGAATGGACGAGGGAGGAGGAGAGGGTCGGGGCTGGTAAACGGGAACGAGGCGAAAAATGCCGCGCCGTGAGAAACTTCGTCTGGTTACAGGATATTCGGGGATAAATTATTAATGTCGCGAGCGGTGTCAGCTCGCCGACGCGATGGCTCGTTCCGCTGCAATATCGACTCCGCTTCACTATGAGAAAGTTTGTACATTATTGGAGTGCTTATTCGATACTTGTCGCGGTGTTGATTTCGCGTATTTTCTTACAACGTGAACACCGTCGGGCAGCAGCCGGCGGCGGTGAGAATCGTACAAATCGATATAAGTTACTACATCGAAGCGTTCCCGTCATTTAGGACTTAAGAACACTAAAAAGAAATTTGTTACCCTGGAAATACGTATAGAAAGCAAGGGAGAAAGGCAGAGGGAAAGAGTGAGAGAGGTGGGAGGGGGNAGAGAGATGAGAGGATTTCAACGCTGCTCCACGTACGTTTGCATATTAATTAGCGAGACGTTTGATGGATTTCACGACGGCAGCCACTATAGCGCATTATTTTTCTACTGTATTTTTAGGTGAAATATTTTTAAGGAACAATGGGTTACGTAGGGTATAAATAATCTATCCTCTTTTATTCCGCGGTAGAGACGATAAATCACCGGGTGTTTGCGAAAAAGTGGCCGCTATCCGTGTATTCGGAATTTATTGAGCTATTGTAGCTGCATGTACTATTGACTCACCCTCTTTCTCTCCATTTCTCTCTCTCTCTCTCTGTCTCTCTCTCTCTCTCTCTCTCTCTCTCTCGCTCGAGCTATAATTTTCAGAGAGTTTAAAATTCCGAAATCATTTCACGCGCAATTCAGGAAGCTCAAACGATGTGAATAGGAGAGAAAAAGAAAATACGCATGAATTATACCAATTATACGGGGGACTCGCGAAACTATTCGAACGATTTCATTCAATTTATAGTGCGTTTCCGATTCGAATATTTTGGTGAGCCACTGTATATAAAACCAATCATTCCTTTCAATAACGAACGCATCCCAATAACAATCTCAATAAAAGCAAATATCCAATCAATGTCCGATTTCATTGGAGTAAATGCCACTAAATACTGAAATGGCCGCTGAAAGTTATTAGAAAATACTTTTGCTGCATAGCGGATTGTAAAACCGACATTCTGCATTTTCGCACGAATCGTGCACGCGCGCGCGCGCGCGCGGCGATATTTTGAAAATACAATGTCACCAAAATTGAGTCCGACAAAGCTGTTTGGCTCGACCAACGGGTTGTGAAATCGATCGCAATATAAAATGTGCGGAGGGAGCTGGGTAAAATGTCATTGTTGATATCTAGCAGGGATAACGAGTACGTATCGATTGACAATGATACGCGAGAGAACCGCATCGCGGTCCACTCAGGCACACGCACACACACACGCACACACACACAGATACCGCCTATTGGTTATTGGTGTACACATATGACTGTAACGATTAATAGGATATCCACGGAAAATAAGCACGTCCGTCTTTCGATATCGATCAATTGAAATCGGAGCGGACGATAGCTGCCGGACGTACCTTTCGAGGTCAAGCCTCCTACTCCATGTTGCACTCGCAAAATGAAAATCGCGGATGCATGTTGCACTTGGATTAGGTTCGAGGAGATGCCTTCTCTATCTCTATCCCGCTCCGATGCGATACGCTACAATATTGCGATTGCCCGTCCCGATTGACCGAGATAAAGAATAATCGATCATTAGCTCGCCCTCGCGATTCATCGGACCATCCACCTGTATCCATCCGTTACGATTTCTGCGTTCCCCGTCTCTCCAAGTTCCTGTGTATTTTTATTAACGACGTTAAAGGGAACGGTTATTTGGATTTTCACCGATATATCGATTTGTTGTTATTTTGTGAATTATTGTTTGATTTCGTTACGTACATTATTGTTTGATTTTGTTACCGTAAAATTTTCAAACGCGAAAAGCCCGCACGCCCGCACGGACGTAACGAATACGCGCTCAATAATATCGAACACCGGCGCGCAACAAAACTGAAAAGTTGAAGAGAGTAAAAGCCATTATATAAAAATAGATAAAAAGCACGCGGCCTTTTGATCGTTAGCGCCAAACAGAATATCCTATTATCTATTTTTCGGACATTTTTCCCCGCGTCCCGCGACGAATCGCGGTACCGTGCTCACCGGAGAGAATTATTCTTCGAGACTACAGTTCCACCTGTGCGCCAATTACGGCTCAAAGCTAATTTTAAATCCACCAGCGAGATAATCACGATCGCTTCCGTCCTGAATTGCCCCTCGAGTACGGCTAATTTCCTTGTCGGTGGCCGATCGCGTAACGCGATTCGTTTCAGCTCTTTAACCGCGGAATCGATGCGCTCCGACTTGGTGTTGCAATTTTTCCAGAAAGAGGCCCCCTTCGCCCTATTCGACGTCGGCGCGTCCGAGACGTCGCGCACGTGATCGCTCGTATGTGTTAACGCTCGCTTGTCTCCACCGCTTGCTCGCCTGTTTTAAATGTACGCACGTTTTGTTCCGCGTGTTCCACGAAAGGCGATTGCGATCGAAGCCGCGCGCCGCCGTCCTACCACCCCCCCCCCCCCAAACTCNTAACCCTTGCACGCGGTTCGCCGCTCCTCCTGTGTCAAGTATGTAAAGCGGTAATAACGCGTCACGTCGTTAGCGTCGGACAAACTGCGACCGTTGCCCCGTCACGATCGAGATTAATTAGCACGGGAGATAGTATCGCGCGCGCGATATCGCCGGTCAGATTCGCCGAGGATGCGGGGAGAGTGTCGAAATGCACGCCGGCGGCGAACGTTTCTCCCCGTCGAGGAATCGTCGCCAGTGCCACGTGCCGAAGCACATCGATTCTTGAAACAATACTCGCGCGGGTGGGAAGAAAGAAAGGGAGAGGGTAAGAGAGAGAGAGAGAGAGAGAGAGAGAACTCATAAATAATGTACAATGTTTTTCGGACGTTGGCCTATCCCCCTCGAAAAACCTCTATCTCCTCGTTCCATTCGTCTCTCGCTCTTTCCTTTCCTCGCTCTCGAACACGATCCTTGTCTTCCTCCGGGGACGTGCCCGATGCTTCCAGCATCGTTTCCAATTTCCCTCGGTACCCGCTACTTAACGCATTTGAATAACTTTTCGAGAACACTCTTCCCGCGCCCGCACCTCCTCAAAAACCCTCCTCCCCTGTCCTCCCCGCTTGTGTGTCTTATTGCGTACAGTTCACGAGGCATGGTGGTAGAAGGAAAAGTGGATCGCATCCGTGATGATTGATCGCCGTAGAGGAGAACTCCTCGCCACCCCCCTTAGTCCGCCACCCGCCTGCCCACCCACGCACCCCCCATCCTCCCCCCACCGTCAATGTATTCCCAATGTCCGAAAAACATTCGTCGGTTAAGCCACCCTCTCCGCAAACACGGGAGCGGGGCGATCTTCCACGCAAGAACGGATCCGACATGGGGTTGGAAAGATATCTCTCTGTGCAGAGAGGGGGCGGCGGCGGCGACGTGTACTCGGAGATATATTCGCTTCGCGGGGAACTTCTTCGGGGGCGAGTCTTCTGCTCGAACGTTTCCGAACTGCAAATATTCCGCCGCCTGAGAGAGAGAGAGAGAGAGAGAGAGGCAAACGGCGGCTGCGATTTAACGATCGTCGTCAGACATTCGCCTTCGCGTCACGAAGCGCGAGAGAGCGGCGAACAAGAGCGCGCGCGTCGCGACGCGAACTGAATTCGCGCCGACTCTCCTGTGCATCGGTAAATACCGGGACAATTTCTCAAAGAACTCGCAAAGGTTCAGGGCCTTCCCGAAAGTCGGGTTTCCTATAGATAAGTAATTATTCCTGCCATTGTGTTGCGCGGGTCGCTTTAAAGGTCGCGTGTTCTGACTCTTTCCTCGTGAAAGTTCGACGCGGAAGACTGCTTCTTCGCGCAGCTCGGCTCTCCAAGATTGAAAATCGCGGGCGAAATTTCATTATTTATGCCAATGCTTCAGTCTCGATATCGCATAGTCGGTGTCTTCTGTATTTTAGAGAATATCTATTTTCTCTTTTCCTCTCTCTCTCTTTCGGATACGACTGCATACTGAAATATCGTTCGAATGAAATTTTCACGCCCACGCGATATAAATTCACATTACGACAGTCCGAATTTTGAATTCCAAATGCGACAACGCTAAAAATACAAGCAAATGTGACGAAATTGTTTCCTCGGCTTGCCTTTCCGAATAATTCAATATGTATGAGATGTTAAATGCGTCAGCGCGACATTATGCAGCAAATTTGCTCTAGTTACGCTGCAAGTTTCCGAA